TTCTTCTTCTTCTTCTTCTTCTTCTTCTTCTTCTTCTTCTTCTTCTTCTTCTTTTTCTTCTTCTTCGATGTGATGATTTTAATTGTTGTTGTTGTTATAATTATTTTTGTTCCTTTAATTAGTATTAATTCTAATATTGTTACAAACAAGGTTATCGATATCGTTCATGTTGTGGTTGCTGTTACTGTTGCTAATGTGGTGGCTACCGTCATTATCGGTTGTTGTTTTTTTTTATATTGTTGTTGTGGCTGTGTGCCCACTCACCCGTCGGCCCAGGCGCCGTTCCACTCTCCTCTGCCCCAAGGGTTCCTCATGTGCAGGATTGTCTTCGTACCCTCACGTGTGTCAACCTGGGGAGAGCAGGTGTCATAATGCTATTATCAACCTGTCTCGGTTTATATCTCAGTTTTGCGCAATGTTTCAGTTACTCATGTTATGCTTTTCCGCGATATATTGAATCATAGGTCTAACCTATCCACTGCCTGGCTTTAGATGTGGACCATGAAGCAGGCCTGAGAATAGAAGCCTGGCAGTGAGGGGGTTAAAAATAAATAAAGATTATTCAGGTCACACATTTCAGGAATAGTTTTAAGAACGCAATCTCAGCAAGAAAGCTTTTTCTTTTTTGTCTACCTAATCACATACATAAACCTTGAAAATAAACCTCATCCTCCGCCCAACAACCCACCCACCCATTTACACAAAGATGTACAAATACCCAAAAGCACATATATACACACATACAGCCTCGCATGTACTCGCACTTACGGGTAGGCCTACTTACAGACTTCTGGGACAAGACACTAACTTACCTCTTTGATTTTAAGAATGCTGTAGGCATGGCCGGAGTAGAGTCCGTTCTTTAGTTTGATTTCTCTTCGGCCTCCGGCATTTTTCTTTTGCTGCAGAGAAAAACAGGTGGGGGGGGGGGGGGGGGGGTTAGGAGAGCACATTTTCAGACACTTGCATCGGGGTAAATCGTTTCAACTAGAACAGATTTTGACTGTAAAGCCTTCCATAATCATCCGTTTGCAAATCCTTCTACTTTTAAGAGAACCTAATTTAAAGATAAACATTTATCTCTAGCTTGGTTACTTCTGTTGAATCTAAAAATTTACTGAGTTGCTGTATGAGCTGCTCACTATCTGTGATTTGGGACTGTAATGTTTTGCGGTCTCATTTGCCTATCTTAGCTTCTTCAAGAAGTCGGCTATTTCGACCATGCCTGTCAAGACCAACCCAGGCAAATCGGCAACTATATTCCGGCTGGAAGACTGGGGTACTTGATAAAAATTATAGACTTCCCTATGAGCGAATCAGACTCGCAACTGCTGATTACATTGATGAAAATCTTAAACATTACACTTCATACAGTAGTTTCATGACAGCTATCAAAATACTTACTACATATATCATACAGAGAGACGGAGAGCAGACTAACTAGACTAAAATACACAAATTAGACTCTTAGGGTCTATTAAACATTCTAAGATCAGACGTAATCAAGCAGGATTATTACTAAATTACAGGGGTTTCGTTTCTCTTACATTGGTTTTGTTTATTTGTTGTTGTTGTTCTTTGGTTTGTTGTTGTTGGTTGGTTTGTTGTTGTTGTTTTTGTTGTTGTTGTTTTTGTTGTTGTTGTTGTTGTTTGTTTGTTTGTTGTTGTTTTGATTTGGGGGGGAGGTGTCAGGTATTTTTCCCGTGTAGGTACTATTAACCTAGTATTAATGAGAAGGATTTTAAAAAGTAGAAAGACTGTCCGTTCCCCAAAAATTCCCAAACTGCTTTCTCCCTCTCACAGACCATGGCATAATATTGTGTACATTACAAGAGCTTCAAACTCCTTTATATCAATTATTGTAATAATACCACGCTATCAATGGAATTTATTCATGTATTTTTGTTTTCATTCATTCATTCATTCATTCATTCATTCATTCATTCATTCATTCATTCATTCATTCATTCATTCATTCATTCATTCATTCATTCATATGTTCATTCATCCATTCATAACTTTATCTATTCTTTCACTCACCCAGTTATTTTTTTTCTTTCGAATATTCATTTTAAAAAGAATCCGTTAAAAAAATATTCGTTCATTTGTGATTCATTCCTCCATTACGTTAATTATTCTTTCATTCGATTAACCATTTACTGATTGATTCGTTCAGTTTTGCATATTTTTTTCTTCTGTCCAAACAAAGAAGGTGAATGAGGACAAAACGCCTTACAAATATAGCTCCACCCATGATACTGTTCATCTTCTGACAGTTTATGATCATCTCCTTGAGCTCTGGCAGCGATATGCTTGTCTTGAGAGGCACCATCTCGCCCATGCCCCCTGTGAGATCAACCAGTGACGTGTGGATGCGACCACCATCAATCGTGTTATAGTCTCCGTGAAGTCTGAAGAAGAAACACGAGGCATGGCAGGATGTTAGTTAGTTTTTTTTACTCTGGAATTTTTACTCTGGGTAGAGAGTGATGACATAACAGAAATAAACAAGCCACTTCTAATATATGATATAAAAGCGAAATTAAAAAAAAAAATTGTTGACCGATTCAACAACAGTAACAAAACAATGGCAGCAAAATCTACAACAGCCAAAGCAAATCAATAACAACACAAGCAACAATAAGTACTTATTTCTATCACACATTTGTAGAAGTCTTATATAAAATCGAAAGGAAATCGAGTATACATTAGAATGTCCAGGGTTGGCTCTTCTGAGACCTCAGATATTACATAGAATTCTACAATACAACATGTTAAATCGCGCAAAATATTAATAAAACATGATTTAGACATCTTCTTTTCTAATTATACATATTGATATGACTTTTCTCAGTTCTGATAATAATGGCTTCGTCAGGTTGGCAAAGTCCTGAAATAAACCAATGGTGAACACAAGCTTAGATAGATACATGATACTCTATCGCTTTGCCCCAGTGGGAATTTGATATACATATCAAAATGTGTACAACTTTCATAAAAATCCAACGTAAGGCTCCGCCATTTCTTACTTGGCGTAGGCTTTCTCCAGCAGGGGGCACCAGAACTCCTGAGGATAGGTTCGGTTCCTGCCATAGAGCAAGACTCCTTTGTAGGTGGGCAGCCTGTCGTCAACGATCACCTCCTTCCACTTTCCGTATTGCCAGAACCAGAAGCGGAACGCCCCTAAGAGGGAAAAAATACACAGGACAACGATCAAAGAAATGAGACGATAAAACGATATCGTTAGATACGTCTAACACAAACAAAATATGAGAAAAGGAAAGCTTTTTAGGCAATATTTTGCTCCACAGTTAACTGTTGGGTGTCAATAGAAACCAAAGATGGTTTAATCTGTGAATATGCCCTTGCAAAAAAATGCGCGAAATTATAAATGTCATCACTCACAAAAACTCTTCGTTTCATAGCTTGAAAGGTAACTCTTTGCGAAATGTCTTGATTGTCGCGCTTACAACATGTGTATGTGTGTCATGTATACTTACAACGCTGTGAGGTTATGTATGAGGTAAGATCTCCAAATTTTATGTCCACCTCCCTCCGATAGGCTCTAGGAAAATGGGCAGATGTGAGTAAAGTGCTAATTTCTCAAGGACACAAAGTCAGTCCGAGATGAGCCACGAGCACCAGAACGCGCATTCTAACGTTACCGAGTCCAGAGGCCAAATGGCTAGACTACCGATATCGCAAAAAGCTTTTAACACTATTTATGTTTATTGCTCCTCCTCTTTATGATACCTCACTCTGTATAATATCACAAACAGACTCACACACACGCACACGCACACACACACACACACACACACACACACACACACACACACACACACACAC